TTCTAAACGGTGCCCGATTATGTCTACTGTACATTTAAATTATTCGACAATCATCAAAGTCGCCATTTTTAATTTTCATCTTCAGTTGCTTCTTGCAGCATCGCTCCTTAAAATGTATAACATTATTCATCTCACAGAATTGAATCCTAAAAACTTGAAAATGGCGCTGCCTTAAAGCATATACCTTTCTATTTTTACTTAAATCAATTCTTACTCTGATCTGCAAATGTATATTTCATAAAAATCTGCGTCTCATAAATTGATCGCTGAAAAAATATCAGAATTATTAATAAAAATTACAAATAAAATAAGAAACACATTATAACGTGCATAAAAATAAAGCTTTTGAGCTGAAAGTTTCTTTTACAACATATCTTCACGATACTAAAAAGAATAAGGGTATGGATGTCACGCTCCGATGACATTTTCGAAAAAAAAGAATTTTCTTCACAAGTAAACTGTATGTTTACAAAATTAATTTCTACAGATTTGAATTCATCGTAAAAAATACTACAAACACGCACGCTTTCAGAATTTAAAAAAGTTACTGGTGGTTGATTTTCGCAGGGTTGCCACCCCTTCTTGCATAAATTTCCATCGTGTTCCTATACGAACAAATACACGAGTGTGCCAGAAGAATCGTTCGATCTCGGTGCCGGATGCGAAAAATTAGCAAAATCTGGGGGACAGAACGGTAAATCTGAATTGCGACCGGTGAATTTCGGCACGATTCCGCGTTGCCCCGCGGTGTTATTCATCGGAGAGCGTTCAACCCGCGACGACCGACGACCGGCAACAGTCCGCGCATTGTTCGTCATTGGAGCCATTATCTTGGAGCTCGGTCGGAGGAGTAGATGGCCCTTAATAGAGTTCCCTTCGTAACCGCTTCCTGCCGGCATCCCCGAGTCTGTCGCTTATTTTACGAGCCGCTTAGCAACGTGGAAGCCGTGTCGACGCCGCCTTTCTCCCTTGTACACTTCGTTCATATTAATTCCACGCGGAGGAGGCTTTACGGCCAGTAAACTCGACTGAACGCGCTTAAGGGCTCACGGTGTCCCGTCTAATGCAGTCTAATGTCGCTCGGGTTTATGCAGCCGCACGGAATCTTGCCGCGTCTTCCTCGGAAGACGGGACTTCTGACGGTCGAATCGGCTCGAAACTGTTTCGACCCAGTCCTGGAAACGCGACTCCGCGCTGGACCCTTGGCCCTTGCTTGCTAATTTTCCTCCGAGCTGAATGGGGAGACTGCGGCAACCCTTGCGCGTCGATTTGATGGCTGCCGCGATTAAATTTATGCAAAGCGTTCCGCATTAATTAGCTTTTGCATGTTCTCGAATGTATTTCTTTGAAATCGAGAGATATCTCTCTTATTGAACTGAATACATCGGCAGTTAGTCGTTGAAACTGGTTGCTAGAAAAGGAAACATCGTGGTAATTGAGGTTATGTTGCAGTAATATGTTTACGCTAGATTTATAGAGCACTGAGGGTTGGTCAATAAGTCATTGCGTTTTTTATCTCAGCAAATGAAAGACAAATTTTCTATGAAAACAAAACTTTAATCAATGATATGTGCCGCACAATATTTTTTTTCTTACGTAAATTCACTTTAAGGGGTAGAAATTAACCCCCAAATATTCAGGTATTTTTTATCCTGTTGATATAATTACTGATTCGCTGATTCTCTGTCAGTCTAAATATTATATGATTTTGTACTATAATTATAAAAAATGGGTGTTCAGCTATATGTATAAATAAATTAAAAATTAAACTATAATTGAATTAAATAATTCGTAAACTGTACAAGATAGGAAAAGCATTCAAACGAAAGCCGCTTCGTTTGTTCAAATCCATGACGTGGTATATGAAAAATATCGATTACTTATTTATAACTTTTCCCAATTGTTTACATAAATAGCAAATCGTATACCACATGACAGATTTGAACAAAAGAAGTAACTTTTTCGTTTGGAGAATCTTTTTGTATCTTGTATAGTTTGCGAATTGTAACAATAAAATAAGAAATAGCCGAATATTTGGGGGTTGATTTACACCCTTAAAAGTGAATTCACGGAAGAAAAAAAATTGCGTAATACATATCTACGTATACTCTGCATATCGCCAAAGTTTCACAATTTTTTCAACTTCTGGGTTGGAGATCATCCCTTGTAAGAAATGTAGAACGTTCAGACGAGAAATATTAATCACAAAAATTTGCAAACATTTAAACGTCGTTTCCAGAAAATGTCTAACCAACTAAGAAACGTTCATCTTCAACACGTTAAATGCTGTGCGGGTCGCGCATGGATAACCCTAATATTTTCCTAGTTTCCAAAATTCATATTTATTATAATATTACTATGTTATATATTATTATATATGTATACATATTATATATATACATATATATATATATTACATATTATATATATACATATATATATTACATATTATATATATATATATATACTTATATATATTACTTATATTATTATAATATTACTATATAATATACTATACTATTATATTCACAATGCAAAAATGGTTAAGGTATCATCCGCTATGACAGACTTGAACTATCCAGTCGCGGATTCCTGAATTAAATGACCTTGATCCCGCAGGAATTTTCGGGGTTGATTTCCGGCAGTTAACGTGTTAATAGGAGACGCGTGGAGAAGTGCCTCTAATTCGCGTAACACCGGCATGTACCGTGGCGTTCCGGAGTCTAAACTCGCTGATCCGGGTAAACCGTAGGAAAGGGCTAAGATCGAATCGCCTAAGCAGGGCCGAGGGGCTCGGGCGGGTCGGTCGTTCTAATTTGTTTCCCGGAGAGCTCGCACGAGCGGTTAACGAGGTAAACTTGGAACGTTGGTCGGCGGATCCGCGGGCATTTCACGGAGCGCGGCCAATCGTACTCGCTTAACCAGCAATTAAAGTCTAAATGAACTTTCTCGGACGCGTCCGGTTCGAAACGAGGCCACCGACACCGCTGGAATCAGAACACGCTCGAAATTGCTGCGTAGGTTCGGGCTCCGGATCCGGAAGCAGCGGCTGCGCCTCCAGCACCCTCGGCACCCTGCCACTTAACCGGTGCTACTCGTCCCTGCCAAGGGGCGCTTTGGCAGTTTACGGTAGTCTGACGAGGCCGGCCACCCTGCCGCGGCTTCCTCTGGGTCTTGGCCTTGGTCCCGCGCCGGCCACCGGAAACGGACCGCTGCCGCAGAACGACAGGGACAGGGACAGCAACGGCAGCAGCAAGAGGAACAGCGACAGCGTGCTTTGCCATCGGCTGCCGCTGCTGCACCCACTGCCAACTTGCGACGTCGCTAGCCATCAGGGAACCGGCTTCCACGAGATCTTCAACGCCATCCGGTGAGTAAACCACGCTGACTTTTTCTCCACTTTTCGATTTAACCCCTTGGAAAGCACAACTTTGTAAAGAACATTAGAAGGGGCATGCATTTTCCGAGTCGGCTGTGAGAAACAGAAGTTGACCGAGAATGTGCACTTTTTTTTAACTAATTAGCTGTCGCAATCTCTTTCGGATGTTACTGTAATTGTATTAAATATGTTTGTGATTGTTTTCGCACTTTGTTTGAATACAACATTCTCAGAAAATATATGATTTAATTAGTGAAGAAATGGCAACGTTTTGTGTTACGACGAGTATACTCGTCAAAAACAGCTGACTGGTTAATGATTTTTTGCGGAAGATAACGTAGCTATAATTCTGAAATTCTTGCAATATCTTCAGAGGTTATGTTACAGCTATACGTTCTTATCGCAAATGCTTCGAATCTACAGTACTTACACCCTTCTATTACTCGGCTTAAGTAACATTGTGGGGGTGTAGACGACCTAAAATAAAATCTTGATAATTAACGTATTATTTATGACTTTCGAAATA